GCTGAAATATTATTGGTGTTTCGAGTTTGTCTGCTTTTCTCTTTTGTCCAGTAGCCATTTTTTTATTGCTGCTGACAGTGGGCCTGCTTTAACAGCCTCACTTTCCAAACTAATTGGTTATATTTAATCGTATTTGGAAACTAACTGCTATTGATAAGTAAAATAGAATAAAAGCAGTATTTGTGAGTGATATTTGGTCATTTTGCATGTCAAGGTTATGAGAGACTTCATGAATTGTCTATCATAGAACTTACTGTATACTTTCTGGTTTTGAACTGTTCTCTAAGTGATTTCTTATTTCATGGGAACTTATATCTCATAACACCTAGAATTCTACTCGAGTCCCTCACTTGTTTTATTAAGTAACTGGTGATGAAAGATATGGAATAATAGGGTCATCATTACCAAATTATATATGACTTAAGACTACTAAATGTAAATTGCTTTCCCCACCCTCTGATATTTTATGAGCAATCGTAATATGTCTGTTGGCTGATCTGAGTTAGCTAGCAGCAAACTATTGTTAGCTGATTGATTTGTGGAAGCAGTAAATTGTTGTAAGCTATTGGTCAGTATAAAACGGGATGTTGTAAGATTTTTGGGTTCTATTATATTTTTGGACTCTGGAAAGTTGTTTTTTATTATAAATATCTGTGTCATTAAGAATTTTGAAAAGTAGAATATCCAGACCTTTCCTTTTTATTTTTTCCAATTATTTTTTTAAATGCCACTTCAAAGACTATTTTTTCAAAGAAAATGAGATTTTGTTCATTATTTGATATATAGTAGTATAAGCAGATTCAGTGTTTTAAATATTGTTACTGTCATGCATGTTAAGTTTAGTAGATTCAACTACTATATTATTTTTTTTCCTCTTTGTATCTATAGATTTAAAAGGTGTCTGGATCTTTTATCACTTAAAGGATTTTAACTTTTGAAGTATATGAAGTACGTTTTATTTTCCCCAGCCCCTCATTATCTATCCTGTTATTTGTTGCCCACATATATCCTGAAGGAATCATAAACGTAAACAAGCATTTTCTCATGTGATGAACAGGAAAGAAGAAGCCTCTCAAGCCCTTTATTGGACCATTCAGGAGGGGATAATTGTCAGAATAATAGCCATGCTCCCCATCCCCCTAAAAAAAATCATTTGTCTTGTTTGTTCACCACATACACACTTTGGGCACCTCTTCCTGGGACAGACTTGACTACTTAGCCCATTAATAAGCAGCCTGGGGGCAAGCATGACTACCCAGCAATAAAAGAACTCATCAGTGCCAGCTCTACCTGTTTATGTGCTGTTTGTTTAGTACATGAGAGCAGCTAACAGCTGCTCAGAGGAGGGAAGCAAATGGGCACCTGCCATGATGTAGCTGCTTTTGATGTAAAGTGAGAGTCTGTGTTTGGCTGTTGATTTAGCATGTACAGATCTCTAAAATCTAAATCCATGACCACAGGGATGGGGGCATGGAAATTGAGCAATATTTTCTTTCAGATTGAAACTCAGGTTTACAGGTTTTTAGGATTCTTCATTGACAATCAGTTAATCAAATATTTGATTTTGATTTTTATTCTTTTACAACAGGGTTTTGAGGCCTATAGTTTGGAGCTTTGCTTTAACTTGGTTTTCCAGTTGGAATTGTCTGTGTGTACATGTGTGCCCAAGGACATATGTGTGCAAACTCATATTTAATTTTCATTTATGTGTAATGTCTGTATATTTTGCAATGAGTGTAAGTTGTCAAAGATGATCTGTCTTGCAAATTAAGTTACTAAATGAGAGTAACAGGGAAAATAATGCAGTGTTAAGATTTTTATGGAATCCTAAAAAGAAAGTTACCTACATGTAGGTTCAAAAAAGTTCCTGATCTCTATTGCATTCACATATACAGGTGTGGTATACTCTCCATTCCACTAAATACTGATTTTTATTTTAGGACAGCAGTACTTCATCCACAGTGATATATTCTGTAAGAAATTGTACTTTGAAAATCTAATTCGTAATAGAAGTGAAAATTTAAAAAGTGCAGTCTTAATTTCTTTATACTATGCTTGATTGAATTGAAAAACTTGTTTGGTTTCATTTTTCTCAAAAAGTTGCAAAATTATTTTTTGCTAGGAGGATGAGAATGTGCCCACTGCTCCTGATCCTCCAAGTACGCATTTGCATGGGCATGGGACAGGCTTCTGCTTTGATTCCAGGTAATTTTTCTCTTATGTAAAATGTGGGTTATAGAGAACATGACTCTCAGAGTTTGGTTTCTGCAAACTTGTTAGAAATGCACGTGATTAGGGACCTACTTCATTCCTTCTGAACTTAAAACTCTTAGTGTTTTAACATGCCTTCCTGGTGATACTAATGCACAAAATCCTTTGAGAACCAGTGCTGTGGACACACTCAAATGAACACTGTTGGGAATGATAAGATGTATTAATTATAGGTTTACCAGTAGCATTTGTTGTTAGTTAAAAATTGAATTCTTGTCAGTAAGCCTCATTTCACATAATTGTATTTGGGGGACTTTAATGAGAAAAGGTTTTTCTTTGTCAATCTAAATGTAAAAGTAAATTTAGAGGCTTTACAAATGGTTTACACAATTGTCAGTAGCAACCATTTAGAAGCAGAAGGTTTCTGGAGTAACTGAAGACTTTCAAGGTAAATTGTTTAGTATGAATATCAGCTTAACTAGATAAATGTAGCCTTGTCATATTCTGAAGAATACTATTGTTAGATATTTATTAGAAATATGTAATTCTTTCATTTTCCTATTTCTTTAAGCTTTGATGTTCACAAGAAGTGTCCCCTCTGTGAATTAATGTTCCCTCCCAACTATGATCAGAGCAAATTTGAAGAACATGTTGAAAGTCACTGGAAGGTGTGCCCAATGTGCAGCGAGCAGTTCCCTCCTGACTATGACCAGCAAGGGTTTGAAAGACATGTACACACCCATTTTGATCAGAATGTTTTAAATTTTGATTAGTTACTTTTTATTATGAGTTAATAATACAGTTTAGCAGTTTAAAAAAATCATCTCCAATAGACCACTAGGAGCCCACAGGTAATCACTTCTATGCACCCTCTCCCGTACTCTTCTGACCAAGATCTACTTTGAGTTTGGTGTTACTAGGGTTGGGGGTCAATGTTTGGCTTATCGATAAATATAATTTTAACCTCTTTTAATCTTACCTGCTTAAGAAAAGAAGCTCGTGGGTGTTTGTATTTTCATTTATTCCCCAGTTTGAAAAATTATATGACTAAAGGAAACAAGGATTATTCTAATGTTACTGCATTGGGAAGAAAAAGTATTATAGTTAATTATTTAACAGAATATTTACAAGTTTCTGTTGACCTTGTTGGTTGAGCATGACTACTAAATATTATGTAATAATAAAAAGCATTTATCATAACAGTCTTGCAAAGTAATTCTTTGAATACAGAAATTTGCATAATTTAGCCCATGAAATGATGTTTTTTTTAAGCCTCTTAAGAAATGGAGCTCTGTGTAGAATGAGATCACATGCTTGCAGTATGGCAAATATTCTTTTTATATTTGAAATATTTGCTTTAGGAATTAAGGGAAGGCATATTTTACTAATTTTGTGACTAAATTATTTTTAGAATAGCCTGAACAGTTATGTTTAAGCCATCTTAAAGTTATTATTTCTATCCAAAGGGAAAATGGAATAAGGTATGTTGTACAATTGTTTCGTATTATATGATCTAAATAGTGGTGTTTGTGGCATAAAATCACAGGAAATGTATCCTTATCTTTTTCACATTTTCCTAATTAGAGTATAACTTTGAAATAACATTCTCAGTGATTAAAAATGTAATATGTAAATAAGTTGTGTTTCTGCCATGTATAGTATTACCATTAACATTAAAGAGGACACATTTTTGGAGGTGATTTTATTGTCAAATTTATTTGTGATCGTTTTTCATTAAGTCTAGCATCTTGAACATCTTTTTTCGTCTGAATTTATAAAATGTTTTCAGAACTGTATTTCTCTTTTATACTATCAATATTAAGAATTTAAAGTATTGGTTTGTTTATTCTGCTGAAAATACTCAAACTATTTAAGATGTTAAGTCAACAGTCAGCGTGGTTGCATTTGGGGTGCTATATATGAACTGCATCCTACATCTGTATTTGTTTCTACGAGGAATTTGTGAGCGTTTCAATAGCTCAGTTGGTAGAGTGGAGGACTGTAGGCTATTTCTAGGAGCAGAATTTGTCTATTGTTGGAGTCCTTGGCTTTTTCGTCTAAGGAAACCAGATGTTTAGGACTTCATATTTTAGCTTCCTCAAGGTCACATGATAAGCAGAATATTTCAGAGAAAATGTTCAGTGAAAGAGCATTTTTATTGCATTAGTAATTATGGACCATGATGACCTAAAAGTCTTTGAATATTATAATACTACCACCAGTGAAATAAGATTATTCATCTTAGTAGTCTTGGACTTGAGTAGCTTTTTGCCTCAAGCTGGAAAACATCAGAATAGGTTAAATTCCACTGTGGTCTGAGAACATGCTTTGTAGCATTTATATTCTTAGGAATTAAAGTGTGTTTTGTGGCTTATAATGAATGGTCTTTCTTGGTGGATGTTCTGAGTGAACATTGTGTATTCTGTTGTTGGATAAAGGATCAGTAGGTCAAAACAATAGTTACTATAACAGTTAATTGTTGATGCTGTTGAGTTTAAATCCTTACTGATTCTCTAACTGCTGCATTGCTAAAGTGGTGTTGCCATGTCAAAGTAAAATTGTGGATTTCTTTCTTTCTTCATCACTTTTTGCCTCCCATATTTTGATGTGCTGCTGTTAGGCAAATATTAAGCAAAAAATTAAATACACTTTACATGCTGAATTCTAGGGGATGGGTGAGGAAGGAAAGGCAGCCTAAGGTAGAACAAGGCACTGAGGAGGTAGGGTAGTTTCCATGGTAAACTTGATACTGGCTTTTCATGATGGATGCTAATGAAAATAAAGAGCCATGTTTATTTTGGGTCAGAGACAGTTTATTTAAAATGCAATTTCATCTACATTTATAAGCAGCTTTTCTTGACAGGATTTTGATTCATTAAGTTGTCTTCAGTTCTAAAACCTCTGTCACTTTCAAACTTAATGTGCTCTGTCCCAAACAACAAAACATATGAAAATATAATTTAAAGCACAGTTTTCACAGACACAGTACAATACATTCACTATACACGGTATAACAAAATATTCCCATCCTTACCTTTAGTAATACTGTCACAATGAATAAGCAAGTAGAAGTTGGAATTTGTTTTATAGTTGAAAGAAATGTTAACATGCACAATGACTATTTTATGACTGTTTAGCTGTTGAACTGCTGATCCAGCCTGCAATTTCTTGCACTAGAAAGAGCAAAAGCTAAGTAACTGATGGCCTAAAAAATTTTTGGTCAATTATAGGTAAATGTGTAATAGCCAGTAGGGCCTTCTTATGCACCAACTAATGTTTTTTTCTGTCTAGATTACCCTTTTCAACATACAGAATAGCACTGTATATTAGGACCAAGACCATGCTTCAGAGATCTGAGGAAATTTTTAAAGGGCAGTGTCTTTATAAATACTTAAAAATCCCTCATTATGAGGGATTCACAACTTAAGAATATAGAAGCTTACTCATCTGGCTAACAGAAACATGGGAAGAAAATTATTTTATAAGCAATGCAAGTTTGCGTTTTACCAGTTTTGTGAGCAGTTGGCCACCTCAAAGCAATTTTTATTGCATAATTAAGCAACTGGTAAACTCATGTTCAAGGAATAGCACTTGGGAGAAAAGAACACTCAAGGCATGACAGTATTGTTGGTGAGAAAAACTTCAGGAATGGTCCAGACGTAGAGTTATTCTAATGGGTCATATATTAGTCATTCTTTGACCACCTGCTGCAAGAAAGCACTTAATTCTCAATAAGGCTCAATTTCATTTCGGCAAATTGTTTTATAAAGCTAAACAGACGTTTCCAGTGGAACACAGACATCTACAATGTGATAGGAAAAGTGCCTTTAAAGTCTAAACACAACGAACATGAAGAGGAGGCAGTAGGAGCCTAAACAAAAATGTTCCCCTTTGAACCATGCTTGGAATTTTCTTATTTGTAACCCACAGGTTTGTTAGGGCAGTGGTTGTAAGAATTGGCAACACATAAAACATTAAATCTGTTGGCAATAGAGAACTACAAAGTGCTTTAAAACTTCACCTAAAGATGAAGATAGAAATAAATTTTACACAAAATTTGTATGTATTTCAAAATGTTTCCTAACAGATTTCAAGGAAACATATTTCACTAAATTGGTACTTTGTTCTGCAAGTATCAATAGACATAAATGGAATACCTTGCACTCAATAAGTGTGTTAAATTAATGAGTGAACTGAACAGACTATTGTACAAAAACGCCATTTATAACACAAGTAATTGGTAAGTCAGATGGCAAGATTTTCAGCTTTTTAAAGGGCAAAAGGACTTGCAAGATAATATAAACACAGAAAAGCATACCTTTTATGTATGTTATTTAAATATGAAAATATTTTTAGCATATGTTAAACATACTTTCTTAATTTATATTTCAATTACCTAAAGTCTTTCTACTCACAAATACTAACTCCATTATGTAAGGCATGATAACCAGTTTGATAATGAAGGTATTATTTTGGTTTTGAAGATAGTTAATGTGTTGAAAAAACCTCAGTCACACTACAAATCTTGGGGGTGGGGGGAAGCAAACCTCTGTGCCAGCCCCTCCTCCCCCAACTGCTATCACTGCAATACAACTGAACAATATGCAACATGCCCTCAACCATATTTGTTTTGGGGGAAATGTGCTGAGAACCTAGAGCTTTTTTTTTTTTTTTAGCACCTTATATCAAAGTAATGAAAATGGATATGATGATTACATGTGCAAATGTACAAAATCATTAACTCTACAAAGATACATCATTCCAAAATTACAGAAAAAATTTAAAGCATGCATTTACTTCTTTAAAGGGTGGCTGAATGCTTCCCCTGAAAAAAGGTGGCTGTTTTCAAAATCAGCAACTGCTGGTGAGGATTCCTTGGCACAGTTATGACCAGCATGTTATTGCTGCATCTTCCTGATAATCTCAGCCGACACCGGGGGATGGAAATTGATTGTGTGGTGCCGCAGGCCCTGAGCTGTCTTGTAACTCTTACCACAACGACATTTGAATGGTTTGCGGACACGAATCTGTGTTCTGTGGCCATTCTTAGCATGGTACTTTATGCCATTCACATTCTGTGGAGAAGACAGAAACATCACATATTAGATGGAGTCCTATAATGTCCGTCCAAGTGGGAAAACGTCAGTGTGCTCTCGGATGCAGCTGTGCACATGGGGTCACCCCCACAGATACCTCAAGGTAATTCAGACACGCCTCACTCTGAAAATGAAAGGACTTCACATTGTATATAAAATATGTATTTGAGACTCAGAGGCTGTATGGAAGCACAGTTCCCTCTGCATCTTTTTTCTACTCTGAAGAAAGTTAACAATGGGCAATTATATAAAAATATCCTCAGGCTGCTCCAAAAAAACAACTCTAAAGGTAGAAAACAGGGCAGGGCAGTAGAGTTGCAGACATGTATAAAATGACAGCTGGGGTGCTGGTCCCTCCCTTACTGGAATTCCTGTCCGTTTTCTACTCTGCGAGAAGTCAGTGTCTCTGCCATGGTGGGAACTCCATGCTCACAGTAAGTAATACTGAGCAGACTAGTATGTACTGCATTCCAGACTTGAACTTGAACATCTTCAGATTATGGAAGTCTCAGCGCAGAAGAGCCCTAGACTTCAGACTGGCCTACAGATCTTATGTGGCACCCAAAACACCTAAATGCTTTCTGCTAATTGGTTTTGCTCGCTTGTTAGCCTATCCTATGTAAGACTCCATGGCTAGAATCACTCTACAGATGTAATAGCTACTATTGCTCATCCCATTAGATGTAAGTGGGCTCAGGACACTGACTCACTGATGGAAGATTTAAGAATAAATGGCAGAGGTGATACTAGAGCACAAGTATTGGAAAATTCCCATCAGCTGTTGCCAGATTAGGGCCTAAGAGGGAAGAGGGAGGACCTGAGACGAAGTTGTTGAGCACAGATCACCGGAGGAGTGGGCTGTTTCTGAATCTAGTCCCACTCAGCCCGGTCCTGTGCCCAGCTAAAGCACTCCAGCACCGTCTTCTTTACCTTCACAAGTGGTCCTTGGTGAGCTCCCAGAGAATGGGACGGACTGTCCGCTGCTATTTCATGAGCATCTAGCACAGTCTGGTATTAGAGTGAATGAGTTGGTTGGAATGTGCAATTCCTCTGGGAAGAATTGAGAGTTGCCATTAAACAGTGGTTATTACTACTTACATTTCCTTCTTAGAGTTTCACAGTGCTCACTGGTACCTTTAAAAGTTTTTGCTAGAGAATCCTGCTTGACTTCGTTGAGCCCACCGGTGCCAAATAGCAAACAAGTGGCAGTGCTCTAAGTCTGAAGGTTGATCACAAGGACCCTTTGCCCTGAACACCTACCTACTCTTGGCCTTCAGTCCTTGGCCCTCCTGCATCAATCCCTGTGTGCAGGGCGAGGAAGCACCTCACTAGTCTTCTAAAGGGAGTAAGAGCTCACTGCAGTGGGACAATGGCAGATCAGACCCGTACCAGCCATCCCTCCAGACTTCCAGGCACGTAAGGAAACCAACTTCCAGCTCTAGCCCCGCCTAGTATCTTGCAGTCATGAGAGACTCAGGTGAGAACTCCCCAGCCGGAGCCAGGCAACCCAGAACCATGGAAGGTAATGGGTTTAAGCTATTTGAAAGAGGAAGAGTTAATAATACAGTTTTATGACCATTAGAGAAAGATCAACTTTCCAAGTAATAGTAACATGTTAGGCAGTCTCCTGGCTCACAAATGCCAGAAACTTGCATATGCCTGCTTCATAGCCTATTTATTAGCACAAGATATCACTGAGTGCCTACTAGGGTCACTTTTTGTGGATGGAGGTTTAGTAAAACATTTCATGTCTCTGTTCTCCCAGGGAACTTGTTACAAGAAGGATCTTTAAAAAATATAACTACCCCTGTGCCCAGCAGTACCACGTGCACCTCGTCAGGGAACAGAGGACCAATAATAAACATCGAGCCAGGAAGCAAAAAGGCATAGCAGTGCCCAACAGGATCCGGGCCTGAGTGTTTACAGTAATTAGGTGAGGGAAGCTTTGAAATCAAATTACCAAAGCAGGTCCAATACAAAGCCAGATGATCAGCGCTCACCAGAAGGGCAAACCCAGGTTCTGTGCTCCCAAATGGAATATGTACGTGATGGTGCATGTCTGCCTGTGAGTAAAACAGCCAATTCCATACATCAGGCTTATTAATCTGGAAAGATGAGCTGCACTTTTGGGAACACATGGCCCAAGAACTTAAGACCTACCTTACCACCTTTTTCTCTGTTGCTGTCATTTAAAATTTTCACAAGTGTTAAAGTACACCCTTACCACAAATGTTAGTACTCAGACTCCAGATTTCCCCATTCTATTCACACACAGAGATGGGAACTCCCACTTTCTAAGACTTTAGAGTCTTAAAAAGATTCACTTAAGTTTCTAATTGCAGAGATCTTAAGTTGAGTTTGGTCTTTAAAAGTTAACAAATAATGACAGGCAACTGGAAAATGAAATGCTTAAAATCCTCTGACCTCTGAAGAGAGGAAAGGGAATTTAGCTTCAACATGGTGTGGAAGGTAGCTGACATGAAAGTGGCCTGCTGGTGGCTTGCTGCCTCATTCAGTACCAGACTCGGTAACTCCCTGGAGTCACGAAGCTGCTGGACGACAGAACTGCAGTGGGACCCAGGGTGCCCGATTCCACAGTCGGCATTTCCCCCCACAATTCCACGCCTACGTAAAGTGCCAGGTGCTCACTCCTTAGTGCAACCAGATGGTAGGCTTTGGAAAGTCTTGGGAGTTGGGAAGGGTTGGGACATGCTGTCTGGAGAGAGCTGCCTGTGGAGTTCAGCAGTCTGCCACAGGGCCAGCGTAGAAGGGAGGAAGGGGCAGGCCAGTGGGAATAGGGCTGTGTGGTGGGCTGGGTAACGTTGGCATCAGCTCATTTCCATGCCAGGAACGACCTGCCTGGATGAGGGAACTGGGCCCGACAACAATTTAGAGTCTTTTCTCAAAATTCCACTTCAAATCATGAAACCTAAAGTCAAGCTTGGCCATCGTGTCCTTAACACGTTAAGCGCCAGGTCAGTCACTGATGCCGGCAGCATATCGGTGAAATCAGATGTTGCGGGCTAAACAGAAGGAAGACAAAACAGGCTTGGTGCTTAATGTGTTAACTGTACTTGATCTTGCTGTCTGAGGCTGAGTAAGGTATGTGACACGTGCCCTTGATAGAAAAACCATCACTTTGAATTTCCTGCAGCCCTTGATGTTCTACAAGCCCTTGAAGTTGCTTGGGGATTTGATGAGGAAGAAAAACGAAGAAGCAAAAGCTGGGGGTCATGGTGGTGAGTTTGGAATTAGAAGTAAACAGCATATGGAAAGGTCAAGACAGCTTTAGCCTACGAGTGGGGAGTCGGCCTGGGAACCGGCGGAGGTGGCATTTGCACCTTGAAAAATGCGGCGAAGAGGGCATCCCAGGCAAAGGAATTAACGTGGGAAACTGCGGAGACTTAAGTGTCCTGCAGGTCCCTCTCTCTTGTCCTACTCAGTATGAAGCCTGGGAAGTGAAGATACTCGTCTTTCAGTTCTGCAAATGCCCATGAAAAGGTGAGGAAAGCTGATCCTGAGTCAGTGCCCAAGACACTAACTGTTAGAGAATCCCTGACAATGGGGCCGATAGCGGACAGATGTGATGTTAGGCTTGGAAACAAGGTGGCGGCACTTCGGAATTCTGCCCAACGCCACAGCACGCAGCACCCAGTCCAGCCATCATGCGGTAATCAGGAGCTCCACTGCCCGCGGCCAGTCACTGCCCAGCAGAAAGAGGCGGCCGGAGCTTCAGGGGAGATGACACGCGTCTCTAGCACTTGGTTAGGAGGAGTTACATGTTTGTTCTTGTCCCCTCTATCTTACTAGACATTCTGGTCAGTAAAGGAAACTCGTACTTCCCTTGTGGAACTCAGGACCATGAATTGCCACCACCCCTGTCATCTGTCAGGGATGCTGAAACAGCCCAAGGGGTCCCTCAATTTTCGTTTGGCCTTACATGGAGAAAAAGCACCCCCAAAAGCCCTATGCCCAGACCTGGACAACTACTAGAGGAAGTAGCTAGAAACCCAAGAAAAATAAAAGTGGAAGGATAGTGACAGAAATGCCCAGGGGGAAGGGTATAAAAAAGGAATGAAGCTGGAGATGGGAAAGGGAATGCCTCATCCTCCAGCTAGAATACAAGGTGTAGCGTTCACTGCAGGTGAGAAGAGCCTCTGGAAAGCAGCCGCTACAAGGACAGTGTTCCTTGGCAAACGCTCCACTTGGAAATGAAAAAAGGGAGGACAAAACAAAACCTCTTTCTGCAATGCAGAGCTGCCTCTGGGAAAAGAGCTTGTCTAACAGTCCCTGGGGTCTGGCATCCTGTCCTCTCCCGACTCCCACCTTCTGAGACCTGTTCTGACCTGAGCAGGGCACCCCCGTGCGACTCCTCTCCGTCCTGGAGTTTCATTTTAGTCTAAACACAGCGCATCTGAACTTGCCACAGGGAGGTGTTCACAGTCCACAGAGCCGGTGAAGTCTTGGGCCACTTACCTTGCGATACATTTGTTTCATTCTTTTGTCAGTAGATGGTATAAAAAGTACTGAAATAGATTATTTTTTAATGTTCAGAGACACATACTTAAGAAAGAGCAATGTAAGTGCTTATGCTGCACACAATTTTTAAGCTTTTTAAAAAAAGTCAGTTGCTGAGCTCTGGGAAATTAGCATATCAAATGCTCCAGATATGTTTCTGATTCTTCTATTTCTATCCCAGAGTTGGATTTTAAAGAGCTGCTAACAAAGTTTGCATTAAAAAAAAAAGTGTCCTCAACCCACACTGGCTTGCTGTGGGTGTTTTTCTCGTTTTGTCTCATTGGGGTTTTTAAATAAAAAATTTAGTGCCCAGGCATCCTATGACACCAGAGACAGATCCTCAGAGACATGGCCCTGTGCCATCGACAGAGAAGAGAGGATGCTGAACCTGAAGTGGGTGGTTTGGTGAGAAAAATATCAAAGGCCCCTTTTCTCCTGATCTCCTTTCATGGCCCTGGGGGGCAGGGAGCAAGAGCTTTCTCAGCTGGAAGCTAAATACCCGACAACACTTCCCAAGAGGGCTCTGTGAGCCAGGCCTTTGTGACTTCAAAGTGGTCTCTGTGAGCCACCTGGACAGACCAGCACTGTGGAAGGTGTTTGGCAAATAAATAGGTGACACATTTTTTATTCTGACTGATATGGCATGAATCTGAAGAATATCAAAGGTATGGTCCTCTTACCAAGAAAAGCTCTTGGCCTTCAGCTCCACATGTCAGTGGAGGGGAAAACCCACTTAACATCTAGAGGGCAGGCATGTGTCCCTGTGGGCACCGGGCACCCAGTGGGCACAGGAGAAGGACGCTCTCAGGACTGCTCTCTTCACCAGGAAGAAGGGGCTGCTGTCTGACATGGGACTTGCCCTCTCCTGTATTGTCAAGCCAAGTGAGGTGGGACCTTTACCTTGTATCTCTTTTTACATCCAGGAACTGGGCAGGCAAAAGGCTTCTCCTCCCCTCCGTTCATGCACATGGAGCTGAGGATGGCCTCGGAGCTGATGGCGCTCTCTGTGGTCCAGGACTCATCGCTGTCCGACTCCTCGTAGTCCACCTCCTCCTCGTCGTACTCACTGCCTGCAGGGCCACAGAGCAAGGCCTGTTAGGAGCAGTCACCTCCCCGCAGGTGCACTCTGGCCCCAGAGGACAGGAGGAGCCAGGGACCCAGGGGCAGGATGGGCAGCTCCTGCCCTGAGAGAGGGCATTCCAGGCACAAGAGCCAGCAAACATTATCTGGTCCTGGGACAGGCCTGGTGGCAAGGTCTCTGCATTCCCATCTAAGAGACCAGGTTAAGGATTCCCACCAACCCATGTCCAGGCATTGGCTCAGCAGGAGCCTGAACTCGGTTCTGTGGCCGCCCAGGCTGTGATTGCAAAGGTGCTGGGAAGCCCGGAAGCCAAAACCAGTGATCAATGACAACAAACAACTCCCACCCCAACACACACAAACACAAGCTGCACCTGACATTGCCCCCTTAATTTAATGCTTTGTTGGCCTAGTCAATGCAGGAATCTGTGGGAGGGGTTACATTTTACACTTACTAGGTATTTGCCTTTAGTGGGGATGAATTTCAGATTTTTTTTTTATATATAGGTTATGCTGGAAAGACCATGAGGAAATTTGGAATTAAAGGGGGTTTATCCAGAGCTAGGGGACAGAAATGCCTGGAGCTCTGGGGAAACTGTCAGGGTCAGAGTACAGCTCCAGCCCAGGGAAGACCACCCCTGATGCCAGGGAGCTACCCCACATTCCCTGGGAGGCAGGGAGGGGGCCCACCCCAGTCAGATGGCTCAGGCGGGAGCCGGGATTCTCCGTATTGCTGAGGTGAGCAGCTCTGCTGGTGGCTGAAGTTAAAATCTACTTCACTGACTCCTCCGGGCGGCAGGGATGGGAGCCACTTCACCAGCAGCCCCCTTTTGCTCTTTTTAAATGAGGCCCAGAGCCATTTATTTTGAGCTTTTGCACAATACAACCCCGAAGGACATAATTCTACAGATCATAAACAGTGTAAAATAATATGTTGACAAGTCCTAATGCATTTACAAGCCCGGTGGAATAAATAGGAATTATAACACAACATTAATAAGACTTATATGGTAGCAATTACAGTTGTGAAATTCATCCCCCAGGTGTGAGGCTAAATTGCACCAGGGGCCTGCCTGGGTGCTCCATGGGCTCTCTGCTACATCAATTATTTCAACACCAGATATTGGCACTTTTATTGGGTTTCATTTTAATAGGCATTAATAGGATTGTTTGAAGAGCCCGTTGAGCCAGGAACAAGGACGCCAGCATCTGAGGCTAACACTTAAAAGAAGGAGCCGGGGAGGAAGGAAGGGACCTCGGGTTGACTGAGTGCCTCTCATGTTTCATGCGTTAGACGCCTTATCTCATTTAATCCTCAGTGACCCTGTGAGGTGGGGATGCCTGTCACTTTCATACGTTTGAGAAAACTGAGCCCTGCGAGGCTCAAGAGCTTATGCATTCTCAATGAGCCATTAAGGGTGGTCGCTTTTCCCCACACCACTTCCTGGCCCCCAGTGCCAGCAGCTCTCTGACGGGGTCCCAACCTCGTTGCTGGTTCTTCACCATCTACCACTCAGATGGAATTCAAAGTTGTCTGTTTTGAAACTCACGGATGGTGCAGAAAGAAGTTTGGCAAAAGTGAGGCCCTGGAGTTAACTGGGTTTTGGTGAGCCCTGCTGTACTTGGCTGTGGCCCCCAGGAATGAGATCGCTTTGGACACACTCACAGGAGACAGCACAGGGTCCGCGCCACATGAGTTTGGGCAAATCTCGAAACATGCTTTTAAACAGGGCCTTGTTTAGGACGTTTCACTCAAACAAATGCCACATGCTGGCGCCCTTTAAATTGCTTGTTAGAGAACCAGACTCGCTATTTCGCAAAGCTCCTCCGGCAGGGCTTCGGGAGGTCAGAGTGACTCATTTATCCATCTCATTGGGCTCATTTGTTAACCTGAACAAGAACCACGCAACATTTACGATGGCGAGAAAGCCTCCGACCGCGGAGGGCTTAATGAAGCCCAGCAGAAGAGAGAACCTCAAAACTCTACCGGATCCAAGGGGCCAGGTCTGAGGGGTTGGTGCTTTGGGTACAGTCACCTGCAAGCCACGTGGCATCCACAATCATTTCTGCAAAACTTTGCAAGCAAAGATGATAAAAAGTGTTTCCTCTGTGGGAAGAGGGAACCCAAACCCCAGCACCCTGTCTGTCGATGTAAGTAATTGGGGCAGGGAGTTGGGTTGGGACGATTTGGAGCGTGAGAGTCACAGGAAGCATCTACTACCCAACTGGGGCCCAGAGCTGTGTCTGGGGACTGGCTGGCAGGCATCCCCGAGGCCACCCCCCTAGCAAGCTCTGTTAGGGAGCTGGGTCTGGAGTCAGAATTTTGGAACTAGGAGGAGCTTAAAGGGCCACTGAACCCCACACATTTTAACATCTCAGAAGTCAGCCCACGGTCACGGTGACAGCCGTGTGTTTGGGGCGTCCTTCCTTCAGGCTACTTGGCTCAGGATTCTAAGCAGGAAAGGTCACTTTGGCACATACCCATTCATCTTCATCAACCCTTTCTCCTCCTCCACCCGCCCCCTTTCTGTAAGTCAGCCCTGAATTCTGGTGAGTGCCACCTGGGTGGGACTGGGTTTCCACAAAAACAGGAAAACCTGCTCTCTGCCAACACCCCTCCCCACACTTTAATATTCAAAGGGTCCAGAGGAAAGCTTTCTCACAACTAAAGAGAATCCACAGGCCTAAAATAAGAAAAACAAAGATCCTATGGAAACAGCTTCGTTAGAACAACGGCGCCGGGTTAGTGTCACCTCCCCTCTGAGTTGAGCCACCTGGGGAAGCTGACAGAGCAGGGACCAAAGTGAAGACATCCCTTGTGTTTAAAACGAAGACTGAAGGACTGGCTCAGGTTTCTCATTCTGATGAACCCGTTCTCAATTAGAAGACAACTGACCCACATCTCAAAAGGGGCCCAAGGTCAGAGGACACAAATGGGCTGCTGGGATGCCGGGGAACACCCTGTGAGTGAGCCAAGCAGTCATCCTGGTAGGATGGTTCTTGTTTTTGCTGAGGCTCAGTTACAAAATTCCATGGCTCCGAGGCTTTGCCCCAACCTTCGTCCCATAAATCCTGGGATTTTTAGTGCGCCAGCGGGCAGAATAGGATTTCAGGAATTCATAGGTGGCATGATAGCCCAAATGCCTGGTTTTTAGATTTGCCCTCCTTTTGCTTTGAGTCATTTGTTCCTTAAATTCTGGCATTTACCTGCCTACCTGAACCTACCTGCATTTACTTGGATTTATTTTTTCAGTGGGAAATTGTAGTTGCCCAAGAATGAGCAAGTTTTGTTTTACACATGCAGTTCTGGGAGCAGGAGGAGTTGGGAGATGTCGCTGCCATTTAGGTTCGGGCAGTGGGGGTGGGGGCTCCTATGACCCTGGTGCTTGGAGAGGACCCAGTTTAACAAAGGCCAAAGCTGGGGTTCAGGAGGTGAGGGGTTGCCAAGGTCACTGGCTAGAAATAGGCAGACTGGACTGGTACTTGGGTCTTTGATTCCAAAGTTTGTGCCCTTTGATTTCTTTTACAATTGACCATGGCCAGTACAAGGGAGATAAAGATGCAACGCAGTCTAAATCACTGGGGAGGGAGGGAAATGGACACATCGGGTAGAGCTACCCACAGCCGCACGTGGGGGCGGTGTCCGAACACGTGGAGGTCCAGTCTTTCAAAGAAGAGTTACCTGAGTTGTTAATTTGCAGACTCTTAGACATTATTAACCAACTTTAAAATGACATTCACCAGTGTTAGAGTTTCTACAGGAAAATGTAGCTTCACTGTCACATGTAAATATTGGTGGCCACTAACTTCCTTGGATTGAATTTTCCATTTTCACACTCCACAGTTGCACTGTCCCCACAGTGGGGCCTGAACTGGGCAGAAAACAGTGGCTGAGAGGCACTTTGGGGGCCCCAGGAGCTCATTTCAGCATTTCAATTTGGGAAATGAGAAAACTTAGCTAGGACTTCACGATAAGACAAATATATTGCTCAAAAATGCCTACTGGTTGTCAACAAAAGAAGTCAACACCAGAGCTGGTTTCATGAATCACATGAAAAGGTTTCACGGATCACATGAAACTGCAAGGCGGTGCGGAGCGCCTGTCCACACACTCACCCACCTGGCCTAGTGCCCAGGAGCCTTCCGGTGCTTCTGCCGAGCTCACTCTCACCTGTCAGAGCCATTTCCAATCTTGTCCCCACGCCTCTAAGCTCTGCCCACCTTGCCCTTTGCTCACCCTTTAGCCTCTGCATTTGGCTGCAATCCATTTTAGCACCTACACTATTCTCACTCGGTATTCATAAACATAGTGACATACAGATAAAAATAAGTCAACCTTTTCCAGAAACCCAACACGCCACATTTGTCTTATAACACAGGTCATTAATATTCATGAAAAAGTGATAACTGCAGTGACAGCAAATTAAAACTCTCCTGGGGTGTCAAATTCTGGCAAATACATTAGCAAAGAGTTGCCTTTCTGCCTTATAGATTTATCACTATAAATTAGCTTTAATTGGTACTGACCCACTTTATAGGAGCTGGAGCAACAATAGTCTAAATGAATTGGCAATAGACAATTATGAGCAAAGACACACTAACGGCTCCAGGAACCATGAGCCAAGTCTTAAATTCCTGGCCTCCTTGCTCCTGGCCTTAGCTCACTCCTGGAATGTCATTTCCCCCACCCCCTCCTTGGCTATGGAATGGGTCCTTGTTCTCCAAGCAGGAAGTGACGTCTCCCTCATAGGACTAAACACTCTAATGAATTATTAGCTCTTAGTATCCCATAGTGCCTAGGGTGTGCATGCATTCAAGGTGCCAATGGACATATGTTTGTTGAATGAATGAATGAGAGAATACCCTTCACAGACTTTAGTGGGGGATGGGATGCAAAAGTACACAGCCTCCCCCAGTCTTAAGAAAAGAACACTAGATTATCTCACTTGCTTCCACCCACAGTGGCTTCCCACAGTGCAGAGCAGCCCGT